CGGAGCCCAGCAGGTCGAGGCTGCGGTGGCCAGAAGCGGCCACTGCACTCCAGTCTGGGCGACAGAGTGAGATCAACTCAAAAAATAAAATAAATAAATAAAAAAATCAGCCTGGCATGGTAGCACATGCCTGTAATTCCGGCTACTCGGAAGGCTGAGGCGGAAGGATCACCGGAGCCAGCAGGCGAGGCTGCGGTGGCGGGGAACGGCCACTGCACTCCAGTCTGGGCGACCGAGTGAGACTCCAACTCAAAAAAAAAAAAAAATATATATATATATATGAATAGTTACAAAATAATGAAAGAAGAAACAGAACAAATGTGATGGGACTTGGCTAGTTTGTTTGAAATATAAAATGTTAGATTACCTTTTATTTATGCATTTCTGAATTAGGTTTGAACCCTAGGAGTAAAAGCAGGCTCTTTAGAGACCAGCCATCGTCTTCTCCCTCAGCATTTATCACAGTCTCCTCTGAGTTCACTACTCAGAAGTTTCTGGCTACACAGCCTCTCTGCCCATTTATGGCTGCTTTCCTCACCTTGTCAGTCACCCTATCTGACGATCATCGTCCTTTATTATAGTAATGATCCATAGTGCTGTGATGTGAAATTTATTTTAGAGTTATTAACTGTATTTCAGTCACATTCCTCTGCTTTTTTTGTTTCTTGATTTCTGTTTTATCTATTGGGAAAAACAAAACCTCTTTACAAGTCCTTAAGTTAAAAAGTTAAGCTCTTTAATGGGCTCCTCCCAACTTCATAACCCCACTCCAGCAATATCCATAGAGCAGTATCTTGAAAGTCTACTTCCAATTGTTACTCTTCTTCCTACACTTATAATTTTTATAGAGTAATTTGGTATAAGTTGGTCTTTGTCAGCTACTTTGCCAAGCAATTGCATTTGTTCATATATAATCTCTGCTGAAAATTGCATTTGTTCATATATAATCTGTGCTGAAAAGGCAGCTTGAGACAATCTGAGAGTATAGAATTGAGAAGTGGTCATAAGACAAAGCCCAGAAGCCAGCTCACAGTTTGATGAAGGTATTGTCAGAGAATCTGAAAGTCAGCTTCTCTCTCTGTGGGATGCTCTAATGTTTGTCTCTCGATTTCTGTCTCTAGGGCATTTGTTTACCTGAGCAATCTGCTGTATCCCGTGCCCCTGATTCACAGGGTAGCTATTGTCAGTGAGAAGGGTGAAGTGCGGGGATTTCTGCGTGTGGCTGTACAGGCCATTGCAGGTAGGTGGCCCTTTTCTGAAATGAGAACCATGAGCTCTGGGTCTAGAGACAAAACAGGCCTGTAATGTGTGGGTTACACTTATATTACATGTACTAATTGTGGGGAGCTTTCTTCCTTGGAGAAAGCCTTTATTGCTTCCTTATAACTATTCCCAAGTATCACAAACAGATTATGTTTAGTCCAGGCTACTGTTATTTTTGGAATAATGAGGCAGAGAGATTTTCTTAACATGTTACAAAACATCTCTTGGATTATCTTTATAAAGATTACTGGCATTTTGAATAATGTATGTTAGCTGCTTCAGAAGTAACAGGATTTTTAGGACTTTTCTTGCTCAACTTTTTTCTAAGGGTACTTCTAATAGACAACTCGTTGGCTGCTATTTTGTAACGCATGGATCAAGATACTGGTATAAATTGGCCCAGTGGCATGCACCTGTAGTCCCAGCTACTTGGGAGGCTGAAGCAGGAGGATTGCTTGAGCCCAAGAATTCAAGGCCTGCCTGGGTAACAGAACGAGACCCTGTATCTAAAAAAATAAATTGGGGAGAAAAAAATTCTGATGCTTTCCACTTTTCCATGATTCAGCATGCATTCTGAGGAAAGAGTGTGGCCATTTCCTGTAATTTTTCTGTCTTAACTTCCAAGTGCTGTGCTGTGTTTAGTGACCTTTCAACCTTTTCTCCATGGAAACCTGTGACACAGTCACCAGTGTTGAGTATATGGAAGCTTCCTCCACAAGTACAACATGATATTTTCAAGTATTTGTTGAGTATTGTTGAATATAATCTTGCCAAGATGGAGGGATTGGTATTTCTAGGTATGACATTTGAACAACCTCAAGAGTAAAACTGGTTCTTTATTAAGTAGTCTCGTTTCAGCTGAGGAGGTTGGTAAATCTACATGAATAGAGTTGGAAGCAGCACTTATGATTTTACTACTTCTGTGTTATTCTCTCTTTCCTATGCAAAAGAACTTGCTGTTGATTTTATAATCCAATACAAGTCATTCCTCCCTTCCCCATGTGTAATCTCACTTTTTCTTGGCTAATTTTTTTCCACTTAGCGGATGAAGAAGCTCCTGATTATGGCTCTGGAATTCGACAGTCAGGAACAGCTAAAATATCTTTTGATAACGAGTACTTTAATCAGGTGAGAAACTCAGGAAGAAGGAACCCTTGTGGAAAGAGAAAAAAGTAGAGTGGGTTTATAAGGAAAATGTTTAGTATTAGAGTTCAGTTCCCCCACCTAGAACTAAAAAATATAGGATGCTGGTAACCACAGAGTTGTTTCAATAGAATATGGGACATGCCTAACAGTTACAAAGGTAAAGAACCAACATTTATATTTTTGTGCATTGCCTTTCCTTAGGTCTCAATCCATTTAATTTTTCAGTCACTATTATTTGTTGGGCAAATAAACAGAAGTAAGGAAGATGGGGGGAAATATGTTTTTATACTGCTTTGTTGTATACCTACCCCTTTCTTGTTTTCAGAGTGACTTTTCTTCTGTTGCAATGACTCGTTCTGGTCTGTCCTTGGAGGAGCTAAGGATTGTGGAAGGACAGGGTCAGAGTTCTGAGGTCATCACTCCTCCAGAAGAAATCAGTCGAATGAATGACTTGGGTATGTAGATGGAGTTTATTATGATTGGGGACATTTTTGAAAAGAGGAAAATATTGACCGTTATCAAGGGACATAGTTGATTTTGTCAACTAGTCCAATGCCCAACCCCTTTTTCTTTGCGTTATTTGAACCATATGTGTGTTCATTTGACCCTCTTTAGATTTGAAGTCAAGCACTTTGCTGGATGGTAAGATGGTAATGGAAGGGTTTTCTGAAGAGATTGGCAACCACCTGAAACTGGGCAGTGCCTTCACTTTCCGAGTAACAGTGTTGCAGGCCAGTGGAATCCTCCCAGAGTATGCAGATATCTTCTGTCAGTTCAAGTAAGCTGCCCCTTTGCTCTGCCTACCAGCTAGCTGCTAACTGAGTGACATCCTTTGTACATTGTAGAGTGTTACATATGTGACAGATTAACACTCTTGAGAGATAAAGACTACCAGTCTCTGAAGGAAAGCACTTTCATCACTGGAGATGAGAGTGAGAACCAGAAACCTGCACTGGAATGAAACAGGGTTCTGTGTGTGGGGAAGAGTGAACCATGCATCCTGCTGGAAGGCTCTGTTGTGGACTGTTCTCTGCCAGGAATATAAGGTCTGATCCAGATAAACCTTTTTATTAATCTTTTTAGTGCTCTTCATGCTGAAATGTTTTGTTTTTTGGGTTTTTTTGAGTTGGAGTCTCACTGTCGCTCAGACTGGAGTGCAGTGGCCGCTCCCAGCCACGCAGCCTCTACCTGCTGGGCTCTGGCAATCCTTCCGCCTCAGTCTTCCAAGTAGCCAGAACTATAGGCGCGTGCTACTATGCCCTGCTAATTTTTTGATTTATTGTAGAAATGAGGTCTCGCCAAGTTGCCCAGGTGGGTCTCGAACCTGTGGGCTCAGGCAATCCACTCACCTCAGCCTCTTAAAGCTTGGGATTACAGGCTGAGCCACCGAGCCCAGCTTGAAATGTTTTAATAAACAAGTCTGAAAGTGAATTATCTAGTCATCAATTATGCCCATTTAATACTTAGAAAAAGGAAAACTTAGTGTAAAGAAGAATAAGTTCTACATCAACTGAAAGTATACTACATCAACTGAAAAAAGCTAGTAGGTAGAGAAAGTGTGACAGCTTTACTTCTCATCCACTTAGAAGCTTGTTCTGTCCTATGACTCTCCTGAGCCGTATGCTCTAGATACTTTCTTCTCAAGACCTCCCTAGGAAAACACTTTTTTGTGAATCTTAAGTTTTAAAACCCCTGAACATCAGTGTATTGTTTCATTGCTTGGAAAGGGCTACAGTACAGGAGAACCAAGTCTGACCCACTCCATACCTAAAGCCCACAGCTTGCCACTGGTGCCACCTCAAGGCTGCTTTAGAGTTCTGTTCCTTGACCTTCCTATGGGTCCTAATGCAGGTTATAATGCATTGCTGTTATATAAGTTTTATCCAAGACCTGAACTAAATGTGATCACTATATAGTAAACTACTAATATCATTTGCTGTAACTCACAATTACGGAAATATTACCCATCCAGTATTGTTTTCAACTATTTAATGTGTTTTTGCCAACAGCCTCAAGCTTGGGGTAGTAGAGAGTTGAGTCTGTTTTTTGAAACATTCACTTTTATTGTAATCAGGCAACTGATATATTTTATGGAAAACACTTATCTTGTTAACTGATATCTGAAATGACAATGGTAGTTTGTCGACCTTTGTCCTAAAATCTCCTTAAAAAAGAGCAATGTCTCCACCTTGTGTTAGCTCTGAAGGAACGGGCATGTTGACTCGTGTTAAAGACTCGAGGTCTTCTTGGGTTTTTATAACCTCTTGTCTGGCCTATGTCGGGAAGATACAGCTGTAAAGCAATGTGAGTGAGTTCATCTGTCACAAGCGCAACCCAGAATGCATGAACCTTCTACAAAGGCAGTGTTGGGCCGGGCTCGGTGGCTCAGCCTGTAATCCCAGCACTTAGAGAGGCCGAGGCAAGTGGATTGCCTGAGCCTGCAGGTACGAGACCCACCTGGGCAACTTGGCAAGACCTCGTCTCTACAATAAATCAAAAATTATCTGGGCTTGCTAGTGCACGCCTGCAGTTCTGGCTACTTGGAAGGCTGAGGCAGAAGGATCGCCAGAGCCCAGCGGGTTGAGGCTACGGTGGCCAGGAGCATGCCACTGCACTCCAGTCCCGGCAACAGAGAATCCAACTCAAAAAAAAAGACAGTGTTGAGGGCGTGTAGGTCAGAGATCAGCTAGCACCCAGCGGGTGACTCTGGCAGGTACAGTGTATTGGTAAGGAGAAGAAAAAATGGAAGAAAAAGAAAGAAGAGAAGGAGAAAGGAGAAGAAAGAAAATAGAAAGGAGGCCCGTGGTAAGAATTGCTATAGTGCCAGCAGTACATCGCATAAGTGATTTGGAGCACTTGGCAAAAGTACACTTCTGTTCTCAGATTCTGAACTAATTTGTAAGACAAGAGTTCATACTGCCGGTCTCTCTACCCCTTTCAAAATATTATCTTTTCTCCATTTTTTTCTTGCAGGGAATGTCCTTCTGATGAATATTTCTATCTGACAATAAACCTTTGTGTTGGGTTATCTTTAATTCTCCAGTTCTTATTTCAGACTAATAGGGAGGGAGTGAGAACAAAAAAAATCTCACTATCTTTGATAATAGATACACATAACCCATTGGTTCAATAAATATTTCTAGAGTATCTATTATATGTTAAGCTCTGTGGAAAAACACTTAGTGTCTATTGAGGAGACAGGCATACTAATACATTATTACAAACAGTGAAATCATTACTTCTGAGGAAAAATAGATCTCTAGTGCTGTGACAACACAAAACTGTCAGGACAAATCAGGGAAGACCTACTGGAAAAAGTGCCATTTGAATCCCCTCTTGACTGGGTATTAGAGAGACTCTTAGGCAAGTCCATCATCTGCAGACTTTAGTACTATCTTGTAGAAATCTGAGTCTGCCAGATTTTTTTCTACACAAAATGATTTCATTATTTTTATTTTCAGTAAAAAGCTTCTACAAAGAAAGAGGAGTTTGTTGAATTCACGTCTTCATTCTCTCTAAAGAATTCTTGCATACACATCCACATAGCTAAGTGTTCAGGGTCAGTTAATTTTTCAGTCTTTTTTGAAGTAAAATCTAAAATGCTATCTCTGTGATATGGAAAAGGTTCTTGACAGGGAAATGTAAATAACTTAGCTCAGTTAAAGAATTTGCTTAAGCTGGGCTCAGTGGCTCAGCCTATAATCCCGCGCTTTGGGAGGCTGAGGTGAGTGGATTGCCTGAGCCCACGGGTTCGAGACCCACCTGGGCAATCTGTTGAGACCTCATCTCTACAATAAATCAAAAAATCAGCCGGGTGTGGTAGCGCACACCTGTAGTTGCAGCTACTTGGAAGACTGACGCGGAAGGATCTCCAGAGCCTAGCGGGTCCAGGCTGCGGTGGCTTGGAGTGCCACTGCACTCCAGCCTGGACAACAGAGTGAGACTCCAACTCAACGACAACAAAAAAAGAATTTGCTTAAGTGGAATGCTTCTTTCTATAGGATCCAAGCTGGGCTTTTAAAACAGAGATCCTGATGAAATCATTTAATGCAGTGCTATGTGTCTTTTTTTTATTAAGCTTTCTGCATCGTCATGACGAAGCATTCTCCACTGAGCCCCTTAAAAACAATGGCAGAGGAAGTCCCCTGGGCTTTTATCATGTGCAAAATGTAAGTGATATGGTCATTTTTGCCACATGTTTTTTGGGATTTTGGTCCCTTGGCTTTCTGAGCCTAGGAAGGATGAGGTGTGAGCTGTTTGCTATGCATGGGGTCCTTGGTGGAGAGTAGACAATAGAGGGAGTGGCCAGAGCAGTGAGGTCATCTGCCCCCCCCCCCCCAACTGAGCTGCAGGCCTTCTCAGCTGAGTTACAATAGGCCCTCTGAGTGACATGTAGGTTGCTCTGCCAGTAAAATCTTCCAACAGTGTGAATGCAGTGTGTTGTTTCAGCATTTCTGTCCTGGAAAAATAAGCATGTTTAATAAGAGTTCTGTTAAAGTGAATGCATTGTCTTTTGACCCTAGAATACTTATATTGTTTGGTTGCAGATAATGTCAGAAATATCAAATACCTTCTGTAGCTAAATTAAGATTCAAAGTTTACTTTCCTAACTGATACTATAATTAACACATGAATGCCCTTTACAGCTGTCTTCATATGTGGAGTAAGAAAACACAATTTCTATCTCTTACATGAATTTTTACTCAAACTATTCAAAAGCCATCATCCTCTTTACAATAACTAATATTCATTGAGAGTTGATTTTGTGTCATTCCCTGTTCGGAGTGGTTTTGTGTCATTTGATCCTCACCTCTACGACATAGATTATAATGAGCCCTGTGTTACATCTGAGGTAACAAGGCCTAGAGCAGTTAAATTCACTCACCAAGGCTGCAAAGCTAAGAAGGTACAGAGATGGTGGCTCTAACATTCAGGATTTTCAGCACTACATGGAACTGTGTCTCATTTTCTTGCTAACCATGCCTGCTATCTAAAGTAAGAGAGGAAAGAACTACTGCAAAGTTGAAACAAGCAAACACAAAATATGCTTTTTCTTTCTCATGTTTGAACAAATGTAAGCATGCATTTTATCTGATAAACTTGAATCAACTGCTGTGCACAAGGATTGTGCTGGGGAATGCAGATGAATTATAGATACCCCCAGGAAACTTAGAATCATGATGGGGGAAATAAAATGCATACATAAACAAGAATTAAACAAGATACAGAAACAGGAGGAAAGTACTCATTAAATGCAGTGGGAGTGGAGAAAGGATAAGTTATTTTCATTAATGGAAAGACTTTAAGTTATTTTTCTTGTTGTGGGGATAGTTGGGTAGAGAAATGGAGTTTTCTGAAGGGTGTAGTATAAGCAAGAAAAGGTGGTCAAACTTGGCATTGTGCCTGGCTTGTAGTCCAGTCAGTACATGTTTTTCTTGTTGTTACTATTTGAGCTGGGCCTTGAAGTATAGCAATGACTTGGAGGCATGGATATATAGAAAGGCTTTCTAGGCAGGGTTGCTGCCTGAGCCAGTCCGCTGTGGAGGAGAGAACAGGTTAAGGAAGCAGAAGGTGAGTGAGTGAGTGAGTATGAGAGGCGACAGGGGCCAAGGACAGTTGGGGCAAATTGTGGAGGGTCATGAGTGCCTGAAGCTTGGTAAAGATACTTGAGAATGAAAACCTGAGGGGAGCCCCTGTCTTTTGTGCATAGTAAGATATCCAGCAGACACTGGACACTCAACAGTACTGAAGTTCTGATGGAAGCAATAATGTGTATTTTCTTATCTTAATCTTAGTCTTTCTTGGCTTTATTCCTCTTTAGATTGCAGTGGAGGTCACAGAATCGTTTGTGGATTATATCAAAACCAAGCCAATTGTATTTGAAGTCTTTGGGCATTATCAGCAACACCCACTTCATCTACAAGGACAGGAGCTTAACAGGTTTGCACCACATGAGCAAAGATTGTTGTTTTGTTTTGTTTTTTTTAGTTTCTCAATTGCTGGGAAGGAAGAAATCTTATGAGGGATTAAGATAACTAAATAATAGTTTTTTTTTTTTCTTTGAGTTGGGAGCCTCATACTCTTGCCCTGGCTGGAATGCAGTGGCACAATCACAGCTCCTCACACCTTCCAACTCCTGAGCTCAGGTGATCCTTCTGCCTCAGCCTCCCAAGTGGCTGGGACTGCAGGCATGTGCCACCAAGCCCAGCTTTTTTTTTTTTTATTTTTGCCGAGGCAAGGTCATACTATGTTGCCCAAACTGGTCTTGAACTCCTGGACTCAAGCAGTCTTCCTACCTCAACCTTCCAAAGTGCTAGGATTATAGGTGTGAGCCACCATGCCCGGCACTAAATAAGTTTTGTATATTACCCTATGTCTCCACTTTAGAAACTTTACCACCTTTTTCTAGCCATGTAATCACTAATTTTAGATAGAGCAAGTTGAATTTTGTCCAGGTGACTTAGAATATAATCTTTTTGTGGGAAGAGGCTCTGATTATGGTAGAAAGTTGAGGTAATCAGGATATAACATGAAAACTGTGTATATTTATCCTAACAACCCATAGCTTCGTGAAACAGAAGCTTTAAGTTAAAGCTTTAAGTTTAAAAAACTGATGAGGAAAGCAGCAGGACTTTTTGATGATGGCAGAGTGTCATTGTTAACAGAGGAAATTTCTTATTTCATTTATTAGCCAAGACTTACAGGGGCACTATTTTTTTTGAGTCAGGATCTCATTATGTCACCCAGGCTGGAATGCAGTGGCATAGTCACAGTTCAAAGTAGCCTCGAATTCCTGGGCTCAAGCAATCCTTCCACCACAGCCTCCTGAGTAGCTGAGATTACAGGTGTATGCCACCACACCTGGCTCACTTTTTATTTTTTGTAGAGATGATACCTCACTGTGTTGCCCAAGCTGGACTTGAACAACTGGGCTCAAGTAGTCCTCCCGCCTTGGCCTCCAAAACTGCTGGAAGTATAGGTGTGAGCCACTGCATCTGGCTAGAAACGTCTATTAAACTGTTTTAATCTGTTTCTCTGTTATCTGGTATTATGCAAGAGGTGAAAATGCAAAAGATCTGCTTCATTAAAGGAAATTCAAACTTGCCATTAATAACACCTAACTCTTGTTAGTCTTGAAGAAGCTTGTTTTCCTTTCTTTGCAGTCCACCTCAGCCATCCCGACGGTTCTTCCCTCCACCCATGCCGCTGTCCAAGCCAGGTGAGCACTAGCTCCATCCCTACATGATGTACTCTTGTGGATACATCTCTTTTTCTGAACGACTTTTCAGATAAAAATTGTATTCAAATTTCTACTCCTCCTCTATGTATCCATGCTATTCCTGTTCCTCTTGTATATATCTAGCAGGAACTTGAATTTTTGATTCCTGATTTGAAATAAAAAGTAAGAAACATTAGAGTTCTATCTCTGTGAGTTTCCTGGTCTTCCTATTGCAGATTTTTATAATCTCCTTGTTCCTAATCTCTCTGCTTTGTATGTAACTTCCCATAACTGTCAGGTGACTGGGCATTTCTTTGCATATTAAATTTATTTATTCTGCATGTTCAATTATCCTGTTTTGATTTTTCTTTGTTTATTTTTGTCCTTTCTCCTCACTGTCCACTTGCCAAATTCCCACCCTACCCTGTGCTCTTTCTTCACCCTCTGTATTCCATCTCCATCTGCCTTCAGACCATGAGAGAAAGATTGAGCTGATTCGGTTTCTCGTGTCTGGCTATGTGAATGTGCATGTGCTGGACACGTTTTCTGAGCACGCCAGTGTGCTTGCATCCTCCACTATTGCCACCTTCCAGGATGAGGCTGACACATTGCCGCCTTTTCTCTTTCTGCCAGTTCCCAGCTGCCAGAGCGAGAGGGTACCCAGACGAGATGGTTAGTAGCTAAATTAGCTCCACCTTAGATGTAGAACCAACCTCAGGGGCTTGTCCTGAAGCCTGGAAATCTGTGTGTGAAATACGGCGTTTCTGGTTGCTACTTGAGCAGAATATAGAGTTCAGCACATTGTCAAGGTCATATCACATTTCCTTCAGAGAGATTTTAGGAAGCACCTTATCTACTTGTGCCTCTTCCACATAACTGTAGGGGTGAGAGGCTCCTTGTATTTGTTTATAATCATTCTTTGCCATAGTACTTTTAATTTTGAAGAGTTTTTACTAGTATTTGGTTTCGTTTTAATACTCCTGGTTTTACTTTCTGACCCTTAGATGACTGCCAGCATCAGTAACCCTATTCTCTTCCTGACTAGCGTCAACAATATATATGAAATTTACTTGGGGTGAACACTGCTGACAGGCTATACATTTGAACTGTGCTATATGATTCATAAAGCCCTTTTATATACATTATGTTAGTGGATCTTCATGATACCTTTTCAAGTTAGCAAGCTAAATATTGTGATCCACGTTTTATAACTGAGGAGACAGGCTCACAGAGGTTAAGCAACTTAACTAAAGTCTCAGCATCAGTACAGTTAAGAATAGAGAATTTAAATCTAAAGAAAACATGTAACATAAGATCATTTACAGAATCCTGTCTTTACAAATTAGACCAGTGGCTCACAACTTTGTCCTCACGTCGGAATCTCCTGGAGATCTTCAGCCCTTACAGAGGAAGGACTGTTACCTACCCCCAGAGATTGTGATTTAATCTATCTGGGGTTTATGCTGGGCTTTGCTATCTTAAGATCCCAGGTGACTCTTCTGTGCAGGGAGGTTTGGGTACCATTGGGGTGGAAGAGGGGTTTTACTCCACCACACTAGCTTTGATTGAGCCAGGATGTGTGGGCTTTCCAAGCACTGTCTCTCCTACTTTATTGTGATGCTCTGCATGCCACAAAATGTGAGATTATAGAATGGGAAGGTTTTTAATGGTATTATGAGCAAATTTGTTTTGCACAAAACCTGTTTTCTCATCATTAGAGACAGTTTGTTGAGAAAAGATTTTGACTCTATTTTCCTTGTTCTCTGAATTTAGAAGTATTAACATAGTTGTTATTGAAATTTCTCTGGGTCTTCTGCATTAAAATTTATCCCCTGACTCTTACTGCCTTTCCCAAGTGTGTCCTTAAAGACTGACATTAGAGAAGCTTATACTTTTGCTGAGTAATCTTGGACCAGATTTTGACATTTTCTAAAAACTTTTAAAAGTTCCAGCCACCAAGTTAAACACCATGAGCAAAACCAGCCTTGGCCAGAGCATGAGCAAATATGACCTCCTTGTTTGGTTTGAAATCAGTGAACTGGAGCCTACAGGAGAGTAAGTTCAACTTAAAATATTTTTAATAAGGCAGAGTATTTCAAAATTAGGAAATGTAATTTTGAGTCTCTCTTCTTGTATTTAGATTCATGAATCATTGTCTACTTTCAGTTTTGAATTGAATTTTGATGGTCTTGGTATTTTTCTTTGAATCACATGATAATCAGAGAACTGACTATTCAGTATAATAATTTGCTTTTTTGTAATCAACAGCAAGATCATGGAGTCTGGCACTTTGTAATGAGGGTTTTATTGTAGTGGGTTTTATCAGTAGTAAAGCAAAGGGAGCATATTATGTAGAACATGGTCAAGACTTACATTATGAATCTCAGTAAGAGAATTGAAGGGCAGAACGTCTCCCTAGACCAGGGTTTTTCAACCTCAGCACTATTTTGGGCCAGTTAATTCTCTATTGTAGGGGGCTTTCCTGGCATTGTAGAATATTTTGCAGCATCCCTGGCCTCTACCCACAAGGTGCCAGTCACAACTCCCTCCTAGTTGTGACAACCAAAAACGTATGTAGACATTACCAAATATCCCCCAGGAGGCAAAATCATCTCTAACGAAGAACTACTATCCTAGATAAAAATGATCAGTATCAGCTTACTTTCCCTCTATGTGCTGAGTATGGGTAAGTGATAAATGTAATTGTTGTTTATAGTTGTCTCTAAAATGCTTTTGAAAAAAACATGAATAAAAGAGATCCTACTCCTAAAACAGAGGTAAGGAGCTGTTTCAGTCAATGTTAAGGGTAGGGGTAAATGATATCCTAATGTTCCTTTATATATAATGCTGAGAATTACTGTCACAACCATCACCATGAAACATTTAAGTTCCTGCTGTGTGTAGGACACTGTGTTAAGTATGGCTGTATCAGTCTTGTATGTAGTTGTCAGTAGTGGCATTGCTTTGAGAAATTTGACTTTCCATGGACAGAACTATAATGTGATTATAACTTGCATTATAAGGAAGAGGTGGTTACAGTAATTGTTTCTACTGAATTAACTGATTTCTGAATCTTAAAAAAACTATCTAGAATCTGAAATTATCTGTTTCTTATCTCCTGTCAATTGCCATTGCACTGCTACATTATTTATTGAACATTTATTATGCAAGGGGATGGAATGTAACCAAAATATGTTACTGCCCTTCAAGCACGCAATCTAGTAAGGACTATGAGGCACAGATATATGGAAAGGATTAGTAAATGCAAATGACTGTATGATTAAATGCCAAAATAGATGAGGAAGAATGGGAACAAAGATCAGAAAAACAAAGATTAGAAAAACAAAGATCAGCCCGGCTTGGTGGCTCAGTCTGTAATCCCGCGCCTTGGGAGGCTGAGGTGAGTGGAATGCCTGAGCCCGCGGGTTTGAGACCCGCCTGGGCAACTTGGTGAGACCTCATCTCTACAATAAATCAAAAATTAGCCGGGTGTGGTAGCGCGCACCTGTAGTTCCAGCTACTTGGAAGGCTGAGGTGGAAGGATCGCCAGAGCCCAGCAGATCGAGGCTGTGGTGGCTGGGAGCAGCCACTGCACTCCAGTCTGGGTGACAGAGTGAGACTCCAACTCAAAAAAAACAAACAAAAAAAAGAAAACAAAGACCACCAGGGACTGTAGCAACCCAGGAAGACCTTGCAGATGAAGCAGCACTTAATTCTCTCTTTTCATTTCTATTTTTTTTGTAGGTATATCCCAGCCGTGGTTGATCATACAGCAGGCTTTCCCTGCCAGGGGACATTTTTGCTTCACCAGGTACTAATGAGGAGCAAGATAGGCCTAGGAGGGAAGGAACACCAAATAGCGTTTAGAAGAAGAAACATAACTCTTTCTCTGCTTTTCACCTCTATTTTGAAGGCAGGGGGGCATTTCCTTCTGTCCTGTCCCGTTTTTCCCCTATATTTTCTTGTTTTAAATTCAAGGGATAGATGTTCAGGTCTGTTACGTAGGTATATTGCATGATGATGAGGTTTGGGCTTCTATTGAGCCTGTCACCAGGTAGTGCACATAGTAGCCAGTGGGTGGTTTTTCAGCCCTTACTCCCTTCCCTCCTCCCCCATTTAGGAGTGCCCCAGTGTCTGTTGTTTCCGTCCTCGTGCTTGTGTATATTTAGTGCTTGGCTCCCACTTATTAGGGAGAACGTGGTATTTTATTTCAGATTTTGCTTGGGGTTGCTTTGGCTGTTCGGGCTCTTTTTTGCTTCTGAATGTATTTAAGTATTATTTTTTTCTAGGTCTGTGAAAAATGATGCTGGTAATTTGATAGGGGCTGTGTTGAATCTGTCTATTGCTGTAAGCAGTATGGACATTTTAACAATATTGATTTTTCCAATCCATGAACATGGAATTAATTTCCATTTGTAAAAGACAAAAGATTTATACAATCTGAAGAAAAACCAGAATATGTTTTTCCATTTGTTTGTGTCAACTTTTATTTCTTTCGGCAGTGTTTTGTAGTTCTTGTTGTAGCGATATTTCAGCTCTTTAGTTAGATGTATTCTGAGGTATTTTATTTTTTGTGTGTAGCTATTATAAATGGAATTGTGTTCTTGATTTAGTTCTCAGCTTGAACATTGTTGGTGTATAGAAGTGCAACTGAGTTTTAAGCAGGGATTTTGTAATTCTGGACTTTACTGAAGTTGCTTATGAAATCTTAGGATTTTGTAGATATAGAATTATATCATATGCAAAAAGAAATAATTTAATTATGTGTTTGTTTCTTCCTCAGACCTTGACTTATATTTACCCTTGCTCTTGTATATAAATGTATTTTAGAATAGCTATTTTGCAAAATTTGTTTCATTCAACTACTATATTGGTGTAGCTCCTATGTCATTTTTTACACTTTTCATTTCATTATGTTTGGAAGCTGTGTGCTTTCACAGTCAAAAGTTCTTAATGAGATTCATGGGGTAGAAGATGAAGGTCTCAATGGACTAAAAATCTGGTTATGAAATGTAGATCCCCCTTTGGTAAATCAAGAATAGCTCAGGCCGGGCTCAGTGGCTCAGCCTGTAATCCCACGCTTTGGCAGGCCGAGGTGAGTGGATTGCCTGAACCCAGGGGTTCAAGACCAGCCTGGGCAACTTGGGGAGACCGCACCTCTACAATAAATAAAAAAATAAGCCAGGCGTGGTAGCGTGTGCCTGTAGTTCCGGCTACTTGGAAGGCTGAGGTGGAAGGATTGCTGGAGCCCAGCAGATCAAGGCTGTGGTGGCTGTGAGCGTGCCACTGCAATCCAGGCTGGGTGACAGAGTGAGACTCCGACTCAAAAAAAAAAAAAAAAAAAAAGCCACTGCAGCCACTTCCAAGTAGCATTTTTGCTTTCCACCATCCAGAGGCCCTGACCCTGTCTTATTTCTCTTCATAGTAATCATGACAACCTGTTAGTTGGCTCAGACTGCCATAACATATCATAGACTGAATGGCTTAAACCACAGACATTTATTTTTTCACAGTTCTGGAGGTTGGGAATTCCAAAATCAAGGCTGATGTGGTTTCTGGTAAGGGCTTTTTTCTTGGCTTGCAGATTGCCACCTTCTTCCTGTGTTCTCACATGATCTCTTCATATGCTTTTTGGAGAGAGAGACAGCTCTCTGGTATCTCTTCCTATAAGAGATCCTTTCAGGCCAGTTGCAGTGGCTCAAGCCTGAAATCCCAGCACTTTGGGAGGCCCAGGCGGGAGGATTGCCTGAGCTCAGGGGTTTGAGACCAGCTTGGGCAACTTGGTAAGCCCTCATCTCTACAATAAATTTAAAAAAAGCTGACTGTGGTAGCGCATGCCTGTAGTTCCAGTTACTTGAAAGACTGAGGTGTTAGCCGGGCATGGTAGCGCACGCCTGTAGTTCCAGCTACTTGGAAGGCTGAGGCGGAAGGATCGCCGGAGCCCATCATGTCGAGGCTGCGGTGGCCAGGAGTGGCCACTGCACTCCAGTTTGGGCGACGGAGTGAGACTCCAACTCAAAAAAAAATAGAATAGCTCAGAAATGCTTATGACCTAGGTGGGCATAGGAGCTGAGGGCACCATACACTGGGATACACAATCAGGGCATCTGTTCTTACAGTCATATCAGCACCTGACTGATCCTCAGTCTCTGACTCGTTTCCTTTTATTTGGAATAAGAGTGTGGATAGCACCTTCCTTCTCTTTCCATACCTCTCCTTCCTGCCCATTTCCACACCATAAAATTCAGAAAACAATAAACGAGAGGAAATGATAGATTACCCCAGAAATCTATCAACAAGCAAAAAGAAATGATAAATTGCAACCCTGCTTCATTACCTAGGGCATCCAACGGAGGATCACAGTGACCATTATCCATGAGAAGGGGAGTGAGCTCCATTGGAAAGATGTTCGTGAACTGGTGGTAGGTGAGTACATTCCATCATCTGAGGACGAAGCCAGGCTGTTGAGAGATTTTGTTGTTACTGTTGTTGATGAATTGGGGGTCTCACTCTGTCACCCACGCTGGAGTGCAGTGGGACAATCATAGCTCACAGCAGCCTCAACCTTCTGGGCTTAGGTGAGCCTTCCGCCTTAATCTCCTGAGTAGCTGAGACCACAGGCACACACCACCACACTCAGCTGATTTTTTTAAATTTTTTTGTTGAGATGAGGTCTCACTGTGTTGCCTCGGCTGGTCCTGAATTCCTGGGCTCAAGCAGTCCTCCTGCGTCAGCCTCCCAAAGTGCTGGGATTACAGGCATGAGCCACCAGATCTTTTTTTTTTTTTGAGACAGAGTCTCATTCTGTTATCCAGGCTAAGTGCAGTGGCACAGTCATAGTCCCTAGCCTCAAGCAATTCTTTCTCCTAAGCCTCCCAAAACACTGGGATTACAGGTGTGAGCCACTGTACCCAGTTAGACATGTTATTCTTTCTGCTGCATAGGAAATGTATGGAACGCTATGCTGGAGAATACAGACTAAGGGAGGATACAGAGACCTTGAGTTTGAAACCAAGCATTCTTGTTTCTCAGCTCCTTCCTTAGTGATGTGTTATTCATCCAGCTGTTATTTTGCTCAGTTGCCATGGTTCTGTGCTAGAGTCTGTGGGAGGGCATAAAAGAAGTCCCTGCTTATTATAGCTTGCAGTTTAGTTGGGGAGACAACATATATATGTGCAAAATGGTTGGTGAATAAATACCAAAATGAAGACAAGAGAAAAGACCTGTGCTAAGAGAGTTAACAAGAAAAACAACCAGGAGGGCCGAACAGATTCAAGAGAATTTAGAGGGGCTTGGTTTTTTGTTTTCCAGACATAATCATTTTGAGTAAGAGAATCAGGAATTTGTCTAATATGCAAATGTCTAGAAATCTATGGCTTGAGTGGGGAATTAAGACATATTGGCTAAATAGTGCAAGTTCAGAATGAACATCTAAGGCAGTGATCTGGTACTTTTGTTGCCATGGACCTCTTTGGCAGTGGTGAAGCCTCAGAATTATGCTTCTAAATGTAAAAAATACTCACAAAACAAAGGCAACTGATAATATTGAAATACAATTATTAAAATATTAAACTCTGCTTTATTGATGCTTTAGGTAACAAGATCTAGCTGTGGTTCTGATTACCATAATTTCAAAGTGGTGATGAATGAAAAATATATTTTACATTATAGAGTGATATGGAAACATCTGTATAGCTTCCCACATTGACTCATTTGAAAATAGAATCAGCCGGGCTTGGTGGCTCCGCCTGTAAATTCCGTGCCTTGGGAGGCTGAGGTGAGTGGATTGCCTGAGCCCGCGGGTTCGAGACCCGCCTGGGCACTTGGCGAGACCTCTTCTCTACAAAAAATCAGCCGGGCGTGGTAGTGCATGCCTGTAGTTCCAGCTACTTGGAAGGCTGAGGCGGAAGGATCACCGGAGCCCAGCAGATCGAGGCTGCTGTGGCCGGGAGCGGCCACTGCACTCCAGTCTGGGCAACGGAGTGAGACTCCAACACAAAAAAAAAAAAAGAAAGAAAGAAAATAGAGTCATAGGATTTGAGCACAGTGGTTCACCCCTGTAATCTCAGCACTTTGGGAGGCCAAGGTGGGAGGATTGCTTGAGCCCAGGAGTTTGAGACTAGCCTGGCCAACATAGCAAGATCTTGTCTCTACAACACATCAAAAAATTAGCTAGGCTTGGTGGCATGTACCTATGGTCTTATTTACTCTGGAGACTAAAGCAGAAGGATCGCCTGAGCTCAGGAGGTCAAGGCTACTATGAGCCATGAATGTGCTACTGCACTCCAGCCCTCCAACCTGGGCAATAGAGTGAGACCCTGACTCAAAAAACAAAAAAAATTTTTTTGAAATTATGGTAATTAGAACCACAAAAAAGGAAAAAAAAGAAAACGTGTAGGTTCTACTGGGAACAGAGACACAGGCACTGCTAATTTCCTGTGGTTTATTACCTTCCTTATAATTGAAGGAAATTCCAATTTTTAGTTAAAAGTTTGTGGAAATAAAGATGTTATTTTTTTCTCTATCCAAACTCACAGATCTCCTGAATTTTATCCACAAACCTTTGTGTCTCCATGGATCAGTTTAAGAACCCTTAGAAGGGAGATTATACTCTCTCCTATGGGGCAGTGGTTTCCAAGCTTTTTCAAAATTATGTTTTATATAGGACACTAATATCCAAACAGAAGAGATGATTTCTGATCCTAAAAAGTGGGGGTGGGGGGAGGGGGGAGATGCAGAGGCCATAGATACTAAGGCTTCCCTGAAGAACCCTATGATTTATTTATTTATTCTACTTAAAAAAAACTTTTCTGTAGTACTTACCATGTGCCAGGTGCTTTTCTTTTCTTTTTTTTTTTTTTGAGTCAGAGTCTCACTCTTGCCCAGCCTGGAATACAGTAACACGCTTATGGCCACCTCAACCTACTGGGCTTAGGCTATCCTTCTGCTTCAGCCTCCCAAGTATCTGGAACTGTAGGCGCGCATCACCACGCCCAGCTAATTTTTTGATTTATTGTAGAGATGAGGTCTCACCGAGTTGCCCAGGCTGGTCTCAAACCTGTGGGCTCAGGCAATCCTCTTGCTTCTGCCTACCAAAGTGCTGGGATTACAAACGTGAGCCACTGCACCCAGCTTAGGTGCTTTTCTGAATGCTGGTTTATTTAATCCTCACAACAATTATATAAAGGCAAATATTCTCACTTGACAGACGAGGGGCTGAGGCTCAGAGAGGTTGAGACTTATGCCCAAAACCTTGCAGCTAACCAGAGTTGGAACCCACGCAGCCCAGCTCTAGAGACCATACCCTTAACCTCTGTGCAATGCTGCAGCCCCTAGTGTTCATATGAAAATAGAGTCATAGGATTTGAGCAAGAAAGTGGTATAATAAAGTCAGTGGCTTAAGAAGTTTATATTAGGTGAGTGTAGGATGGATGTGAGCATCAAGACGGCCAGTTAAATGTCTATTGCAGGTTCCAGATCAGAGAAGAAGTAGCCTTTGTGAGCAGGGCAGTGATACTGGAATAATAAAAGTTGGGATGAAATAAAAGTTGGGGTGAATATGAGAAACTCTTGGAACTAAGAATCAGTAAAGTGGACTCAGTGTGAGTCAGTGTGGGAAGTAAAGGGGAGATGGACTGTGGAGGGTCCCTTGGGTAACCAGATGATGCTTTCAGCTACTGAAGTAGCACAGAGATTTAAAAGTCTGTTTTTGATGTAATGAATTAATGTTTTATTTTAAAACATGCTCGTATTCTGGTTTCTTTCTTTTAGGCCGGATTAGGAATAAGCCTGAGGTGGATGAAGCTGCAGTTGATGCCATCCTCTCCCTCAATATTATTTCTGCCAAGAACCTGAAGTCTTCCCACAACTCTAGCAGGTGGGCACCCTAAAGAGTGTGATGAGTCACCCCTGTGGGGTTGATTGGTACACCATTAGATTCCTTGTTTATTAATGATTCCTGGTTCAGACAAAGAAATGAATTCCCTTCTCCCTGCTTACTCTGAGAATCCCTATTTTCTCCCCTGCCCACCCTGCTCTCCAAAAAGAAAGAATTGAAGATATTTGCATGTAATCAGTTACCTTTAGAGAATGAAATGATCTATCCCATGAGGCCTCTGAGTACATGTAACACAGTGACAAAGAAAAATCAGAAAAAGAAAACTCAGCATGCAACCCAAAGGTTAAAAGTACAAATTAGATATTGGTAAGACTACTATGTAGTGCTTGCTGTGGAGAAAGGCTTCTCACTCCTCAGTATCACGGAAACGTGCTGTCCAAGATGAATTGAAGCTTCCTGTGTTTAATCTTCGCTGCTGTATAGTATAGGCTAAATTATGCTTAGTATTTACTTTTTGTTTTCATTTAAGCATAAAAGTGGTGCATAATATGAACTCTTGTGACCAAGATGGGCTGCTATAAAAAATAGATTTTATTTTGTTTTTAATTTTAAATGTTTCTCTTAAAATTTCCTTTTATAATCAGGTGGTGACAGACAATGCATAGAATAGGTAGCCACTCTACTTTGCCATGGTAGACTGAAACTAAATCAGCTGGGAAAGGAGTTACCTCACCCAGGAAAGGAGTTCTGTCACTGTCTTAGAGACTCCATCTCTTTATATCGGAAGGGCTGGGACACAGAAGTGGCTGCCTGTTCTCATATGGGCTGAAAACGCAGCTTTCATGCTACAGACTTCCTGTGCTTCAGTCTGTTCATGTCTGTGTTGAGAAGAGGGAAAGAAAGGATAAGACACTAGGCAAAAACAGAATGAAAAGTTTGGCCAGGATTAATTTCTTTCTGTTGCTTTCTTGTATTACAGGTTTGTATAAGAAAGAGAAAAAAGAAACAAGCTTCTGTTTCTGTCAGGGGCTGTGGAGAGAGAGAGAGAAGGAGTGTGAAGGGCATGTCAGGGAGGAGGAGTGTCAGAGATAAAGAGGGTACTTTGACTGTCCCTGGCAAAATCATGAACATTACTCTCCCTGAAGTCAGCAGTACTCTGCACGGCTTCCTCTCTTCTGCCAGTGTTCAGCTGGCTTCACCAGCACATTCCTTTTACAATTTCTTAAATTTCCCTAGGGTACTTAGGAAAATACACAGGGAAAGATGGTCTTTGGTTGAAATGCTGGTTGTGCTAAGTTTGCCTGCATTCAAGTAACCTTGAAAAACCCTTTGATTCATGCCCAGTACCAGGTCAAGTGCTGTAGGAAATGAATTTGGTTTTGTTAGAGGCAACTTGTCTTGTATGACAGAAGCTTAGAGTTAGTTAAACAAAAAAATTGGCTCAAGTCAAGAATAATACAAAGACATACACCTTAAACATTTCTGTTTTAATTTAAGCTATATAAATGTACTTTTTTTTTTGAGCAAGAGTCTCACACAGGCTGGAGTGTGGTGGCACGCTCATGACCACCGCAGCCTCGACTTACTGGGCTCAGTTGATCCTTCTGGCTTAGCCTTCCAAGTAGCTAGAACTACAGTCACTATGCCCGGCTAAGTTTTTGATTTATTGTAGAGATGAGGTCTTGCCATGTTGCCCAGGATGCTCTCAAACCCATGGGTTCAGGCAGTTCTCTCGCCTCTGCCTCCCAAAGTGCTAGGATTAAAGGCATGAGCCACTGCCCGGCTATAAATGTACATTAATTTGCCAAGTTCTTGCTGTAGGGCCAAGGTCTTTTCTTTAATTATAAGGTCATTTATTGGAATTTTGATTGTCTTTCTTATAAAACCACACAGAATTAATCATCTGAGATTTTCAGTTTGGTGGAATAAGAACTAGAAACCTGTGAAGAAGATCTAAGTTCAGAATGCTTTAAAGTTTTTATCATTTATTAACATTTTATCATTTTCATCTTTTTTGATTTTTTTAATTTTTAATTTTTTTGTATTATTTATTTATTTTATTTTAAAGATGTGGGATACAATTCAGGATTAAGCATATAAGTGGTCATTGTATAGGTAATGTTTGGACCTCCCTTTGGTCCCTACTTTGACTGGTTTGAGATCAGATACCCTTATTAATGTTATGTGCCCCACCCCTCTTCCCCTAGCAGTTTCCAGCTACTGCCAATCCCTTTCTTATAGTATTATGGTAAATGGTCAGAGTCCACTTATGAGTGAGAACATGTGGTACTCAGTTTTTTGTTTCTGTGATAAATCACTGAGTATTATAGATTCTAAATCCATCCAAGTTGCTGCAAAGTCCATAATTTTGTTCTTCTTTGTGGCTGTATAATAGTCCATCGTGTATATATGCCACATTTTAAAAAAAATCCAATCCAGTTTCGATGGGCGGCAGGGTTGATTCCATGTTTTTGCTATTGTAAGTAGTGCTGCAGTAAACATGTGTGTGCAGCTATCTTTTTTGTAGAGTGATTAAGTTCCTCTGGGTATCTTCCCAGAAGGGAGATTGCTGGGTCGTATTTTCCTCTTCCTTTTCATTTACCTCATCCAAATTTAATTTAACAACTGATTTTAAACAACTCGCTGTTATAAGATCTTTTGAAAATATTCAACGTGGTTATCACAGAAACAAAAATTATTTTATCTTCATATTTCATTGATTTGCCTAATATTTAACTGAAGTAGATAATTATAAGTATAGCTGGCATAAACGATTTGGGACCAGATACTACTGACATTTGATAAGCATGCAACTTAATGCTTCGTGGTAAATTGTGTGGGCTATGAGACATCTTTATAGTTTAGAATGCTTAAGGAGAAATGGACATTAGTCTTTATGTTTTAGGGATATGGTTAATATGGTAAGTTGCAAAATGGAGATCAGGTTAAGAGCACTTTTGTTCTGTTTGTCTAAGACTTAATGTTTAAAGTTGAACTTATAGGTCTCCATTTGGGTGTATTATATGTATCTTAGAGGGCTTTTCTAACATATTGATAGTGGATATAATTGACAAGGACCATTATTTCTTTTCTTTCCAGTCCTACATTTATGTTAATGAATTGTCTTGGTTTTTCCTTTAACTCCACAGCAACTTCCTACTACGTCCAATACTAAATCACCACCAAAAGCTCTATTAATGGTGGTGTCCTCCACCTTCTCTTCTATGGCCAGCATTTTCCTTAATTAAAGTCTCAGGAGAGAGACCCATGTCATTGAAAACCCTCTTTATCCACTTGAATTTACTTTGCTTATCAGCAAATTTGCCTTTTATATTTATTTTTTTCTTTACTGCTTTTCTCTTTCTTTTGTTATTTTGCTGCACTAACAAAAGCCTTTTCTATGTTTTTGCAGGCTCTTTCTTGATAAGGATATTCCTAGGTATTTTCTGTTTGCTTTTTTGCACATAAAGATTCTAGTTTATTAGAATGCTTTATGTCTTATGTTGCTTTGACTGCTGTTTTAATTTAGTGGGCTTTTTTTTAACTCCCATATAAACCTAAGCTGTGCCTGGGATAGAGCAAGACCATATTCTGCACCCTAAGACACTTCTCCTTTGTGCTCTAGATTTTTCTGGTATGTGTACAATTTTGCATATAGCTCATAAGTGATTTTTAGAGTTCCAAATTATTTTCTCATTTTATTTACAAAAATCTCCATATTATTCTTATGTACCTTCAAGTTTTCCTCTTCTACATTTCAGAGTAAAATATTTTTCCCTCATTTCATATAGAATCTCAAGCTTTGTCTTCTCTTCTTTTGTCCTCTTGCCATGCAAAGCTTGAAGAGTTTGTTGCTCTGTAAAACCTGAGTCTGTTGCAGCCTTGTAAAACCACTTGCTTTCTTCTGTGTTTGGTGCTTTGCAGTACTAGTACTAGAGATCAGTTTGGCTATTTGCATAGCTGAGTCTGTAAGTAATATTTTGTGAAGAAACTGACCTGGGCAACAGAGAGAGACCCCATCTCTACAAAAAATAAAAATAAATTGGCTGGGCATGGTGGTGTGCACCTGTAGTCCCAGCTACTCTGGAGGCTGAGGCAGGAGGATTGCTTGAGCCATGGGGTTTGAGGCTATAGCAGGTTATGATCATACCACTGCATTCCAGCCTGGATGGCAGAGTAAGATCCTGTCTCTAAAAAAAAAAAAAGAGAGAAAGAAAACCTTTTTTTCCCTAATACTGAAGGTTTTAATGGAGTCAGAATTTCCATTATGTTAACCAGGTTTCTGCCAGTGAGATTTTCTCTTTAGGTTAAATGAAAACTTAGCCTGAAAACAGAAATGTGAAGAGGCTTTCTTAGAGACGTTCAAAACATGTGCCTCAGTTGGAAGAGTCAGTGTCATAAAATCTCGGTGGTAGCCCTGGAAGGTGCTACGTTAAGATTCAGAACTTGGCTGGGCATGGTGGCTCAACCTGTACTTGGAAGACTGAGGTAGAAAGGTCACCTGAGCCCAGCAGGTTAAGGCTGTGGTGGCCGTGAGCTTGCCACTGCACTTCAGCCTGGGCGACAGAGTGCAACTCTAACTCAAAAAAAAAAAAAAAAAATTAATCTCAAGAATCCATTAAATTGAACTACTGGTTATTATTTAAATGAAAGATTGATTTTCAAATGGCTTTTTTTGGAAACTAACAGTGGTCATTTACTGACTCTAGCGTTAAAAAATTATTCTCTTTTATTAAAACATCAGCTAAGAGTAATTTTTTTTTTTTTTTGAGTCGGAGTCTCTTTCTATCGCCCAGGCTGGAATGCAGTGGCTTGCTCACGGCCACTGCAGCCTTGACCTGCTGGGCTCAGGTGATCCTTCCACCTTAGCCTTCCAAGTCGCTGGAGCTACAGGCGTGTGCCACCATGCCTAGCTAATTTTTGTTTATTGTAGAGACGAGGTCTAGCCATGTTGCCCAGGCTGGTCACAAACCCTTGAGCTCAGGCAATCCTCTCTATTCTGCCACCCAAAGTGCTGGGAATTATAGATGTGAGCCACCATGCCCAGCCGAAGAATAACTTCTTATTCTTTTATTTAAAACAAGGCTCTTTATACTTCAGTTATTCCTCCCTGTTTCTACCATTAATCCTCCAAAATATATTTGTGACATTTGTAGGCCTGGCCGCACAGCTTGAGTGATGTTTAGGTCTCTTGTAATGTGAAGTCTGAAGCTTACAAATTGCCGAGCATTTGCTTTCTGTTCTCATCATCAACTGACAGGATAGCTTACTTAGTTTTTCTTTCTTCTTTCAGGCTCTCTTCCTATTCACTTACGCTTTTCATCTTAATCCCTTTAATTGACCTCATTATTGCTATTATGTTTATAAGGCAGAGGCAGGTTTGTTTAAAAAAAATTAGCACAACTAAGTGCTTCTTCTTAATGAATGGAGGGAGAAGATGGGGATCTGCCTTTTCCTCCTAGGAGATAAGGGTTCCCTCTATTACTAGCTTTTCATAAACTGAGAGTGTTGGCGTGGGTAGGATTCTTTAGGCCCGCTGACAGTACTCCCTAGCCTAAGGTAACTGCAGCTTCTTCTGAATGACTCCCTCTTGTCTGTCTGACCTTAGGACCTTCTACCGCTTTGAGGCTGTGTGGGACAGCTCTCTGCACAACTCCCTTCTTCTGAACCGAGTGACACCTTATGGAGAAAAGATCTACATGACTTTGTCGGCCTACTTGGAGGTGAGGAGATTCAGAGCTTTTGTGGCTGCAGCCAGCCAGCCCTGAGTAGTGGGTAGTTACAGCAGAAAATGGTCAGCAGAGAGTCACCTTGTTTTGTCCTCTCTTCTTCCTCCATTTCCTTAAGTTATTTATTTTATTATACTTTACTGACTCTTCTTTTTTTTTTGAGTCGAACTCTCACAGTCACCCAGGCTGGAGTGCAGTGCACACGCATGGCCACCGCAGCCTCAACCTGCTGAGCGCAAGCGATCCTTCCACCTCAGCCTTCCAAGTAGCTGGAACTATAGGCATGTGCCACCATGCCCAGCTAATGTCTTGATTTATTGTAGAGATGAGGTCTCGCCATGTTGCCCAGGCTGGTCTCAAACCCTTGAGCTCAGGCAGTCCTCTCACCTCTGCCTCCCAAAGTTCTGGGATTACAGGTGTGAGCCACCATGTCTTGTGCTGACTCTTATCATATTAGGTTCTGTTTCTGGACTCTACTTAGTTAAAAAGTCATGTGGTTTTTATTGTAGCTTCAGCTTTAGTAGGTTAATCACCCGTCTTTTAAGGATGTATGATTTTTAAGAAAACTTCACCTCTTTTTTTTATAGTTGTGGACAGAGCCTAGTTCTGGTTAACAGTCCAGACCCTGAAACTAACCAGTTATCTAGGCTCAAATCCCTGTGCTACCCCCTACTTCCTGAATATCTTTGGACAAGCTCTCTGTGCCTCAGTTTCCTCATCCATTAGATGGGTGGATGAGGAATAACTAGATGGGGTAATAACTGCATTTGCCACAGAGAAAAATAAATTCATCTATAAGGAATATCCCTACTTTTACACATATTATCTGTTGAGTTGCTGTTGAAATAAGTGGTGGAGCTAAAGTCCTCCAGTTCCCATATCTGGTACTAGCTTCCCAGATATGTGTACAGACTCTAGTCACAGGTACTACTCTGCCTGCAGTTAATCGGTGCTCTCTCTGTCTGTTTTCAGCTGGATCATTGCATCCAGCCAGCTGTCATCACCAAGGATGTATGCATGGTCTTCTATTCTCGAGATGCCAAAATCTCGCCACCACGCTCTCTGCGTAGCCTCTTTGGCAGTGGCTACTCAAAGTCACCAGACTCGTAAGTTTTTGAGACAAGTTAGTTTCCAGTGTGTTGTCCAGTACAGTGGAATCAGCAGGCCTTAGTTCTCTCCAGTTTACTTTTTTACAGTTGGTTTGCAATTTATAAACCATTTTGGTAACTGACTCCTGGAGTGCAGTGACTTGCACGTTGATACTTAATGAAATGTTGATGGACAGACAAGTTAGTGAAGGAAAGAAGGAATATTACAATGTGAACACTTACAAAACAATTTTGCAAGAACTAAATGTTCTTTTAAATGTCGTTATTTCTAACAGATTACATTAGCATTTCATTTTCTTTTTAAGATTTATTAATGTTATTTAAGGTGTATAAAAATGTATCAAGAGGGCAACCTCCTCAGGTCCCCTCCCACTGTGGGAGCTTTTCTGTCCTCTCAATAAATCTTGCAAAAAAAATTTATCAAGAATAACACAGTAGCCGGGCTTGGTGGCTCAGCCTGTAATCCCGCACCTTTGGGAGGCTGAGGTGAGTGGATTGCCTGAGCCTGCGGGTTCGAGACCCGCCTGGGCAGCGAGACCTCATCTCTACAATAAATCAAAAATCAGCTGGGCGTGGTAGCACGCGCCTGTAATTCCAGCTACTCGGAAGGCTGAGGCGGAAGGATCGCCGGAGCCCAGCAGGTCAAGGCTGCGGTGGCCGGGAGCAGCCACTGTACTCGAATCTGGGCGACAGAGTGAGACTCCAACTCAAAAAAAAAAAGAATAACACAGTTAATACCCGTGCATTACCACCCAGCTTAAAAAAGAAAATAAGTGTCACTAATACAGTAGAAGATTTTGTGCTTCTTTTTACTTACAATCCCCAGGATTGTTTATCATTTCATTCTAGTCAGACTTTTTTCCCTCATATCTTCTCTTTTATGTTAAGAAAGAATAAATGTTTGGTTTTCATATTTGTATTATAAATTTTCTAGTTTATCATATGATTGTATTCACCCTATTGAAATAACAGTGTTTAAAAGACTGAGATGAAAGAAAGCTCCTTCTAGGAGAGGATATGCTGCTTAAGTTCAAATTAGGAAGAGAACAGTGACTAGGAAAAAACGTCTGTAATTGTATTTGAGGGTGGGTTGCAGTTTCTAAAGAAGAAACAGTATTTAAGTAGAATTGAGGTTTTCCTGTTTTTGTGCTGTAAGAGATTAAGCAATTGCTTTATTTTCTTCTAATAGCAACCGAGTCACTGGTATTTATGAACTCAGCTTATGCAAAATGGCAGACACAGGTAGTCCAGGTAAGTTCCTATGGGTCAGAGAAGTACTGAATATCTTTGCATGTGTTTCAAGAATATTACATTTAAAAAATTGGAGAGTCTACCCATACAGGATAGATATGAAATATTTTAGAAACCATGTATATTTTATAAGCCAGTTTGGTGATGGTGGTGGTGGTAGGAGTTACCTTTTTCACACTTGCAACATTGATTTATGATATGCAGTAACTTGTAGTAAACAAAATATTGCTGGACTACAAAATATTGTCAAAAAATTTCAATGAATTAGAACGAATTTGGCTTACAAAACTTTATAAACGGCCGAGCTTGGTAGCTCAGCCTGTAATCCCGCACTTTGGGAGGCCGAGGTGAGTGAATTGCCTGAGCCCCCGGGTTCGAGACCCACCTGGGAAACTTGGCGAGACCTCATCTCTACAATAAATCAAAAAAATTAGCCAAGTGTGGTAGCGCACGCCTGTAGTACCAGCTACTTGGAAGGCTGAGGCGGAAGGATCACTGGAGCCCAGCAGGTTGAGGCTGCGGTGGCCAGGAATGGCCACTGTACTCCAGTCTGAGCGACAGACAGAGTGAGATGCCAACTCAAAAAACAAAAAACAAAAAAAAAAAGCTTTATAAACATTTCCCTCCCTATATTAGCCCAAATATGACTTGGCAATATAACTTTACAGATTCTTTCAAACTAGAATTTAAATCTCCTGTGCTCTAGAAAGACAAATGATTAAGCTAGATTTGTTCTGTTTCTTTTTTGATGTACATATATATATATATATATATATATATATGTATATTTATTTATTTATTTTTTTTTTTTTTTGAGTTGGAGTCTCATTCCG